ACACGAAATATGCAAGCAAGCGCCATAGTTTCACATGATTTGGTTTAACCCATTTATTCATCCAAAAGAAACCATCAAATCGATGAGATGACGCCAGTTTTAACGAGATATAAAAGGGTATTGGCCGTCAAAAAGGGAACCATGATACCAAAATTCCAGAATGCAAGAAGCAATCCTCCCCTGACATTAGAACACAAGACACTGAACCATGCAATAAGACATAAAAAAAAAAAAAAAGAAAGAAAGAAAAAAACGAAACGCCATGCAGCAAATCAGATACCCTCCCTAAGAATGGGTACAGTAACAAAATAAATGTGGAGGAGAAGCCATGCTTCGTGAGGGGATGGATTAGTGTAGGAGGTTGTGTATGCTCAGCTTTTCGTCATCGTGGCTATCATGGCTGCCACGACGACTGGCTGGTTCCGAAGCGCCCTGCGCTAGGTCACGCTGTCCCAGTGTTGGGAGAAGGGTCCTTGCGCCCCGCTCAAGGCACTATGTATGTCTTGCATTAGTCTCTTTTCCAACTCGAGACGGTATTTGCGGGAAAAAGGGATGGATCGGGGGCCAGCGGCAGAGTAAAAATCCAAGTAGACAGAGAAGTGAACCTGGCTCAGGGGACGAACGAGCTCGTCTTGACTTACCAATTTTTCCACATCCCTCCAGTCCTCACCCACAGCCTCAGCCAAGGGCTGCCATGTCTTTTCCCGCAATTGCATGTAGTAGCTAGCGACTTTGTCAACTCGTTCATCATTCCAGTCCGAGCCACGACGTTTGGCAATCAGTCGCTCATAGCGCTTGTGACATGCATTTGACGACTTTGTGGGAAAATTATCCCGTTGAATCTGGTTCCAACCATGTGCTTGGGCTCGTGCGGCTAGCAAAATTTCATCATCCTGCGCGGACCAAGGGGTTGATGCACTCGGAAGGTGGCCGGGGGTTCCAGGGCTCGGAGGCGGGTGGATAGGCAGCCTCTCAGGCATTGATAGCCGCTGTGTATACGAGAGGGGAGGGGGCATAGAGTATACAGGGGTCGCTGTTCTCTGCCAAGGATTTGCTGCCTGGGATGCCATGGTAGCGGAGGCACCCGTCGCCATTCGGCTGGTATTCATAGCTGCCGGTCTGACTGGTTCAGGTTCAGGCTCAGGTTCTGGGACTGATGGAGAGGCTGCTATTCCTACTCTGGTTTGAGAGGATAGCGCTCGCCTTCGCTTCGGAGAAGGATATGGACCAGATTTCTTCGATGATCGCGCTGGTGTCTGTTTCGGCATCTCAGTCTTCCGTTTTTCCTCAGATAAAAGGAGCTCCCCGGGGGTTGCAGAGAAAGAGAGAGGGCTGTTCGCACTTTTTTTGTGTGTAGAAATCAAAATCACTCCGTGCGCCGTCAAGGAAGTTATGCAAGGAATATGGGGATGAGAAAAAGGAAAGCCAGGAGGTGATAGCAACGGAAGGCTAGAGGGAGTTCACTGGTGTAAAAGGGCTTCGTACCCCAGTCCTGTTGGCAAATGGGAGTTCACAAGTGAGGATTGATTGTGTGTATTAGAGGGGTAAGGAAAGTAGGAATAGGCATAAGCATGTGGAAACAGTCGTGAATCATAACAAAATATTATATTGAATATGGGTAGAGAACGGCAATCAACTTGGGGAGTCATATTAGAGTGGGTTGTATAGAGTGAAAGGTTTCAGTAGGCGTCACGCTGGCCAGCCTTGCGAGAAATTGACCTACTGTTGCCTGTATTAGCCTAGGGCGTGTGTTGACCAGGAGGCTGCGCCGGCGCAGTGAAAATATAAAAAATATAGATATAGACTTATATGGAGGAAGAGCAAAGGGCAAGGAGTGAAGCTGTCAACCCTCCCAGAAAAAAAGAGCGTGGTAGTCTGCCAAATTGTTCAACTTTTGATATGAGGTCGAATAGGAGAACCGGTTGAAGAAGAGAAGAAAGTTTGGTTCTTATATGGAGGCGGTGGATCGTCACTTGGATTTTGTACTCCAGTGCCACGGTGCGCGCATGAGGCTTGTCCACGGCCAAAAGAGGGTTCTGCTCCTGCGGCCTGAGCCTGGGCCAAACACACCTGGCGCTTCGACGATGGAACGGAGAGGGGGGGCAAACTAAAAAACAAATAAAGCCAATAGTGCGTTTGACAATGCTGAATTGTGCACTAGGCTGGAGTATATATGTGTCATGGGTTTCCGGAATCGCGCAAATCTGCAATGCTCACTGGCCGGGGGGGGGGGGTATCGAGAATTTTGAGCACTGGTCAGACGCATTGTTAGCACATAGGCGGCTCTCTGCGAGGACCCATAGTTATTGTCATACCCGGTAAAAACGACAAAACGAGCGGGTCTGTAACTAATGGGTCGGACCCTGGTCGATTCTGAAGCAGATCTTGAGTTGGGTCGTACCCTAATATGCCAACGGGCTGCAGCTCTTGCCACGGTGCTTCCCCGGCCCAGCTAGGACAACATCATCTCTCAAGCGTCTTGCTGAGAGGAGAAGTGCATAGTAATATGCAGCACGAGGGATGCATTAGTTGCCTGGCCTGACAGGGTGGTGCTAATTTTGGAAGAGGACTGGCGTTTAGGGTTCGCTGTGGTCAGACCGAGTACGAGATATGCTACATCTCGCAGAGACAGCCTGGTGAACAGGTACCTTTCCGGGGTTGCCATTGACCAAGGAGGCATTCCAACAGAGATCAGCATGTTGGCGGTTAACCCGTTCGTCAACGAAGTTAGTCCGTCGAGTGATTGGATGAATAGTTCGTTCGTCGACCGTCTCTCCTAGCCGTGAAAACTAGAAGCAGTTGGCTAGTTAGTGAGCTAGATTCTCCGTGCCCAATAAGTAAGATAGATCCTCTCGGTAGTTACACATCCCCCTGCGGCCCTGGAAGGAGACTGAATCACCGTAACGGAGAGAGATACCTGCGAAACTGGCCGGGACCCTCAGGCCTGGTTGATATTAGAGTTGACGGACGGCCCGCTCCCTGGAATAGCGACCAATTGCACCGGTGGTTAGCCGCCAACCCACTCGGCCCGCATAAGCCAAGGATACACACAGCTCGTACTGACGGTACTTGTAATTGCCACTCTGGGAGTTGACTACCCGCTGTGAAGCCCATGAGATCCTGCCAGGCAGCCGGCTCCTCGTACATCCAACGCTATATTGTTGCGCAGACAGTCCGTGTTTTCTTTTTCATGGGTGTGGCAAGGGGGCCACCGGGGGATGGAGGATACCCCCTTCTCTTCTCTCTTTGCCCCCCTTAACTCATTCGCATACCGCCGTCCTCTTGTTGACGTGTACATGGCGTACTGGAGCCGGCCGCCGAAACGTCCTGGCTATATGACAGGAATCCCAAGATATAGCGCGCCTATATCTCGAGACGGGGACTCGGCACGGAGTAGGACCCAAACCAACATCTACCGCCACTATTAATAGGCGTAAGGCTGTTGCTATTGGCTCTCCATGCCCTGGCACGGCGCGCCGTTATTTTTGTGTCAACCACCTGTCATGCTGGGTCTGTGATGAATTCGAGAAATGCCAGATCCAGAGATTGGGTGGAGCACAGGGTGCCCCGGACCGGCCACAGAGGACGGAGAGAGAGCTCCTGCGTGGCCGCCTGCCCTTGATGAAACAGGCCATACTACTTCATATGTATGCATATATGCCCCTTTTCCGCTTTTAGTGTCGTGGCACCGTATGCTGTACATTGGCTCGTGCAAGGAGGCATTGGATTGGCTTGGTGAGCGACCTCTAGCCGCCGGCCGGGTGCTAAAACGTTGAATATATCATGCATCAGAGAAATGTCCGGGATCGTACAGCCTGTATCATCGTCGTAGGAATTCGGCAAACAGGAGAAAGGGCTGCCATGCACCCTCGAACTGGTCTTTTTAGTCCTGAGAGCCCGATTGATAAAAGGGCCAATGTCGGATTATCTTCTAAACAGACACTTGCGGCAACACCCTAAGAAGACAAGTCGGAGAGGAGTGAGGCTTAAGAATGAGTGCAGACAGGCGTGCCAGTGTCTTAGCAGGCGATGAGTGAAGATATCAGCCAAAGAACAGGTGTATTGGGGCCGGACCTCAATGTTCTTCCTGTATCACGACTTTACCTGCAGGAAAGACCGTTTTATCGTACATGAGAAGCTGAAACTACATATCCTAAGAATAGCACGACATGAAACAGATTACTATTCTCAGCTCTGGCTTGAAGAAATGATCTACGTAATTCATGCAGAAATATACGCAAAACTGTCAATTGTAAGAGATAAAAAAAATGATGCCATTCGTTCTATCTCTAACGAGGAAGAGCGGACTAAAGATGCTACTCATTCAGTCCGGTCACGGTATTGCAGCCTATCTATCTTCCGAGAGATGCCTCCCTTCCACAGAAGATTCTGGTTGCTACTTTGTGCACGTTATCTAGTTCTGCCAGATCCTTCAGGCGGTATTAACCGCCCTGGACATTGGATTGCTGGAGCCCAGATATTTGCTTTCGCAGCTCAAGGAAGAAATCCTTGCCGTTGGCCATAGAATTTGCTAGGTCCCCTGTCAGTTTCGGATGTTCCTATAAACATGCGGACGCCGGAATAATGGAAGGTCTGGGAGGCATACGCTTTGAACCCCAAGGTCCACTGGGTCGAACTGGATTGCCATCTTTGCCTGTTGGCCTATATATCACTGGTTGGGGTTCTTCAAACCAAGTATCCACCACCAAGGATTAGCTATACGGAGAAAAGCTTCGGTATATGGACTGTGGAGAGCGTGGCTTCGACATACCGCCCTGTCCTCCCTTCTTGTAATCTGCGATAAGAAGCACCTGTACTTAGCACAAGCCGGGCTCGGTTTCGAGATCAAATCCCACATATAGTATTTCCATACCTTTTCTCAGCGCATCCTTCAGTTCAACCGAGTTAAAACTTCGAACAGGAATGTGCGGTTCGCGCGAGGGGCCACTTGGAGGACCCGTCCACGCGGCGGTCGCCGTCATGTTGTTCATTTGGTTCCGATGGCCGTGGCTGCCGCTCTGACGATCTCGATATCCTCCACTATGGTGCCGCTGGCCCTGGGGACGGCCATGGTCATACCCACGGCCACCTCGCCATCTACAAGCTCACGTCAGGACAACCATAAGAAAAAAAACTCCCTTCCCCAGAAAAAGGGAAAAAAGAAAAATCCCCACGTACGTACCTGTCATCGCCCGCACCGCTCATGCTGCTACCAACCACGCAGAAAATACTCTTGCACTTCGCCCTTCGAAGGGGAAATCAAAAGTCGAGAGACAAGGCTAAACCAGCTCCCCCCTTTTTGCGCTTCGCAGCGAGAAAGGAAAACGAAGAGGTTGAAGCTGTTTTTATGTTTCCGCATCGGGAAAAAGTCGCGCTTGTTTCCGGCGGCCAAAAAGCTTGGCATGTGCTTTACCTAAACAAGCTAGCGCGCGCCTACTCCAACCCAAAAAAGGAAAAAGAGCGAAAAAGCCGCGACGACCTCTTGGTGACGGCGTTTGAGGATAGCCGACGTTTTGACAACCTTGAGGACAACGCTGCTCTGCTAGGAGGGAATTTTCCCCCTTTTCTTTTTGTTTTGCATGGAGTTGGTTACTTTGACTGCATTGATGGACCATGATACTGCTCGCTAGGCCGCAGTGAAGCAACGCAGACGAAGAAAACACCTGTTGGAAGCACGGAGACACGAAGCGAGACCCTTGGAGAAGTGAACCAGCTCGCCTCTACCTTTCGATCTAGTAAAGTTATTACAGCAGACAAGGGGGGGAAGGCAGCGAAGCGATGGCATCATCTACCGCCAATATGCAGCGGAAGACGTCTGCAGCCCGGGCACCCAAGCCACGACCCAAAACAGCGCAGAAGGGGGCTCGAAACACGACAGTACAAGCTCCTGGAGAACCACCACGAAAGAAGCTAAAATATGTTCCTGGGGGTCCTGGAGGAGGTGGACGGTATATCGAGGTGGATGATATAGATCCGCCACCGCGAGCATCCTCGCAGATGCGAAATAAAACTAGCACTCCTAGGACTCGACCTGCTCGCGACTCCCACGCCTCTTCACGCCTTCACCCCGCAACTCCCTCTTCCTCGCGTTCAAGTCGACCGAGAACCCAAGCCCGGAGATATAGCTCTGCTGCAGCTGCAGTATTGGCGGTAACCCAGAGTGAAGGATACATGCCTCGTGAGGAACGTGGTTGGGAGGAGTTTCACCCTGATCTCGATATTGACGCCCAGATTGCCGTGTTTAGCTCAAAAGAAGTAGACGGACTGGTGAACGACGAGAATTCGTCCTCAAACGGAGCAAACGGGAATGGTTTTGGAACTAATGGGGATGGTAGCAGTACGCCGAATGGATGTCGAGGACCAAGTCTGTCCCCGTCGAAACGTCGTCTTGATAACCCGAAAAGGGCAGATGACACACCGGAGCAATCTAAAGGAGTATTGCTGCCAACGTCGAATCCGCGAGAAAAGCTTACGCTACCAAAGCCATCCTGGGTCGTCAAAGATCCGTTTCTACCGTTTGAGCAAAAGGGAGTTGGACAGCAGAATTACGTGGACCGTACCATGGCGAGCGTAGGCTACCAGGAAAGTGACATTTTCGTTCGGCACGAGAGAAGGATGATCCGGCTATCTGAAGGTGTAACGGATGGTGATCTTGATCTAGAACCGCCTCCGCCCACTGAGGGAGACGCCGGCCCACCTCTTCCAAACGCGGACGTGGGTAGGGTGGAGTACGACATGGACGAGCAGGATGCCAGATGGCTGGAAGAATATAACACGCAGCGAAAACTTGAAGAATTCGAACCGATCAAACCTGCGATATTTGAAATTACCATGACTAAAATAGAAAAGGAATGGCATGCTCTAGAACGACGGATACCTAAACCTAAACCCAAACCACCCCAAACTCAACGGCCGCGTTCCAGTTCTGCAGTTGCAGTGAACGGTGAGAATCCTGGCTCAGGAGAGGAACAAGATAGCAAATGCGCTGTATGTGATGATGGGGACTGTGAGAACGCTAACGCCATCGTCTTTTGTGATGGCTGTGACCTGGCTGTCCACCAGGAGTGTTATGGAGTGCCTTATATTCCCGAGGGCCAGTGGCTTTGCCGCAAATGTCAGCTCATTGGTCGAGGGTCTCCATCTTGTATCTTCTGTCCTAACACTGAAGGTGCGTTTAAACAGACAAATACTGCTAAATGGTCACATCTTCTCTGTGCGGTTTGGATTCCAGAAGTCTCGATAGGGAACCCGTCTTTAATGGAGCCAGTGATTGAAATCGAGAAGGTGCCGAGAAGCCGTTGGAAACTTACTTGTTACATCTGCCGCCAGAAAATGGGAGCTTGCATACAGTGCAGCAACAAGAACTGCTTTGTAGCTTTCCACCCGACTTGTGGAAGGCGAGCCCATCTCTATCTCAGGATGAAACTGACACCAGGTGCCCCAGCAATAAAGGACTCTAACGAACTCAAAGCCTATTGTGATAAGCATGTTCCACCAGACTGGCAGGCAGATCATAATACCTCTTCCGCCACCGCCCAAGCTCTGGAGTATTACCGCACTGCCATGCAAGGGAAAAAATGGGGAGATAGCCAAGCCGCAGCCCTTGCCATGGGGCCGGAAACCCAAGAAGGCACGGACCCCAACGACTGCGATGCCAGACCTATAACGCCTCGATTAACGTTAACTGTTGGCGGTAACAATAAGCGAAAGCGTGCCAATCCAAATCCAAGAACGATCTGGAAATTACCCTCTGGAGCGCCGGTTATCCCACGAGTTGTGCTCGACAATGTTGTCGCTTCTTTGGCCCGTTTCACAGTTCGTCAAAGAAAGCAGTATGCCGAGGACGCGTGCAAGTATTGGACTCTTAAACGAGAAGCTAGGCGAGGTGCTGCATTGTTGAAGCGACTGCAACTTCAACTGGAAACATTCTCATCTATGGAAATGACCAGAAGGAATTTCTCTGGAATGGGACGTGCGGGATCTGTACGCCTTGAGCGCCGGATAGACTTTGCGGAAAGACTATATCACGACGTTGATAAGGTTCGGATGTTATGTGGCGAGGTAAAGAAGCGTGAAAAGGAAAAACTCAAGGATGCAGAAACCCTTCAAAGTATTATTGACATAGTTTACTTCCCTATACCTCCAATGCTGTGGCCGGTATTTGAGAAAGCCCATGCGTAAGTTCCCAGAGTTCCGGGAGTCGCTGCCCTTAGTATTTCGTCTACTAATATTGTCTTTTTTTGAACATTCACAGATTGGATGGAAAGGGCGTATTCTTTGTTGGCTTCCAGACAATTCGGTCAAAGCTAGAAGAGCGGTACTATACTTCTGTCTCTGAATTTTCTCGTGACTTAGCACAGGTTTTCACTTCGGGCATTGGAGTTGCCTCTGTTGGAGATACAGCAGAGTTACAGATGCAGATCAGCGGTCGTGCTCCTGAGCTCAGCCACGAACAACGAGAGAAACGGAAACTTGCTAAGCGAATAATCAAATCTGTTCAACCTCTGCTAGAGGATGCTTTGAAGAAAGAAAGTGAGCTTAATGGCAAGCCTTATGAGAATGAGCTCAAGGGCCTTGACCTTATTCTTGAAAATAGCGTTGGCTCTCGTAGAGGATCTATCAACACCTCCTCCGGAGAAGCAGTCAACGCTGCCTTACTTACTGACATGGCAACGCAGCCGTTACCAAACGGAACTGAGATTGAAATGCAAGAGAGTGGCCTTAACCTGACTCCTGAATCTAAAAGCGAGATTACCGAAAAGGTGTCTGAGCGGGCCAACAACGAGAAGCCCGCTCCAGAGACGAATGGCAACCTTGCAGGTGATGAAGACCAAGACGCAGAAATGATGGATGCTCCAGAACTCCAGGAGAACAGCACTGAGGTGGTGACATCACATTCCAAAAAGCGAGAGTCAGAAAGTGGCCCTAACGAAGGTGAACCGCCCCAATTGCCTGTGGAGAAGGCGGGAGAGCAATCCACACCCGTCCTTCAACCCCAGATTCCACGAGATGAAGCCACGCCTCCTACACCACCTGCCAGCTTCTCAGAAGGCCAGCAGCTTCTACCCCTAGCCCAAGGTGGCATCCAGTGGTACATGCAACCTTTTGACCCCATTGGTACCACCATCCATGAAGAACGCTGGACCGGTAGAGAGCTGGTTCGGGGCATGAGTGAGGAACTTAGTGATATTGGAGACGAGGAACTTCGTGACTTGGCTGGAGACGATGATGGCGTCGAGGATGCGCCAGCTGAGCCTACTGGACAAGATATTGCATCTGCTACGGCCCCGGAAGAGGAACCCTCCAGGTCCAAGTCGCAGAAGACGCGAAAGCGATGGCGAGGATTTAGATAATAGCCCTTTGCTACTTGTTGTATTTTCTTTGTACCTCTCCGGAGATGGTCACCTTATGTCTTCCGCCTTCTTCTATGCCTTTACATTCCCCTCACTAGAAAGATAATACGTAGTTAGTAATGAAACGAAACCAGGATATCAGGATATCAACGCTGCCACGCCGTATCATCCTCTCCCCATATTCGGCTTACTTTATATTGACCACGAAAAAAAGAGTTGCGGGAGCCAAGGACACCATGCGCTAGTCCAGATCGAGCGATAGCTAAAAGGATCGTCTTCCTGCCCAGGTGAAGCTTTCATCAGCTTTTTGCTCTTCTCCAGACATCAAAAGGCCAACCTCCTCGATCTTTAGCCTCTCGTCTCGCGCCTCTCCCTCTCTTTCACGTTGCCTGGTGCCGCAGCCTGTACTATTCCTTCTGCTTTCTCGTGTGTTGGTGCTTGCAGCAGGCGGCCCGGACGAAAGACTCAGTGGCAACTCCCCAGAGCCGCTTTTTTTTTGCTAACTGGATTATCGACCAACCATGGCCGACATGGAGTATGAAAATGAGAACGATCGGTTCGAAGGTAATGCTGGCCAGCACTCTCTACTTCTGCTCAAACTGAGGCATTAACCTGTCGTTTGATTGTGAAAAAAAAAAGATCCGCAATACCGCCGACGTAGCGCGTCACCCCAGGATGCTAATCGCGCTACCCGGAACCGCAGCGCTTCTCCCAACGGCCGAACTGACCGGTAAGAAATCCATATCACCGAACTACCCTTTGATGTGCTAGTAGTAAAAGAAGAACGAGAGACAAGAGATGAAAACGAATAGTGTCTAACTTTAAATAGTGCTGAAGGAACGGATACTCGGATGAAGAATGCGGATGATGAAGAGGGAGCTCAAAACACAGGCACCAACCTGTTTGTAACTGGGATCCATCCCCGTCTGAGTGAAGCAGACGTGACTCGTCTCTTTGAGAAATATGGTGAGGTGGAAAACTGCTCTATCATGCTTGATCCTCACACCAAGGAGTCGCGTGGATTCGGGTTTGTGAACATGGCTACTCCTGACCAGGCAGAAGCGGCCAGAGAGGGTCTACAGGGCGAGGTAATCGACGGACGTACCTTGAGCATCGAAAAGGCTCGCCGTAGCCGCCCTAGAACCCCTACGCCCGGAAAGTACTTTGGGCCTCCCAAGCGCGGTATAGTCTCACCCTAAGTTTTCTACAATTGATAAGAGAGATTTGCTAAATAAAAAAAATGAATACCAGAATTCCGTGGGCACAGTCGAGGCGGTCGATATGATCGCTATGACGATCGTCGCGGTGGGTATGGTGGCCATGGTCGCCGTTACGATGATGGCTATCGCAGTTCTCGCTACGATTCCTACAGTGACCGTGGCAGTCGTCGCGATTATCGTGATGACTATGGTCACAGAGGCGTCGACCGCTACGCCACGTCCGGACGTGATGACAGGTACGGTGACCGCGGTGACAGGGGAGGCGACCGTGACCGTGATCGTGGGGATCGCCGAGGAGACCGTCGAGGCGGTGGCTACTATGACCGAGATGATGCTCGCGCGCAGTCTGCTTCTGGGGGTTATGCAGACGCCCCTTCCCATCGTGAGTCTTATGAGCCTTCTGGCAGTCGAGCTTACGATAACCGTTGGGACGATAGAACCGGCCCCCGCTAGGTAGGTATCCAATGCAGGCCCCCAACGACAATGGCATCTGAGTTTTGGTTCACCCCAAGCCCTGCTCGACCTCTTTACTAGGCTTGCTTCCTGGATCTCGGTTCCCACCCCGTTTCTATCTTTGCTTATCTTTTCCTTCTCTGGTTGTCATCCTCTGATTCTACTACTGTATTCCACACATGGTTTCTTGTCGGCATCTTCAGCTGGGATCGGTACTTAATCGGTAACGGCGGCGCTTCTATGTTTGTTACACATCACCTTTCGCTCCCACACTTCTAGCATGGCTTCGACACAATTTCGAATAGCTGGCTCGCGGCTCACGTCTGAGGCCGAATGTCTGTTTGGCATGTCACCCGTCCGCTATAAACCAGCTGTTTCTTTACATGTCGCTAAATATCACGAAGCATGGCGGCGGAACACAGGATATCTAAACGTTGTAATACCTTCGGCTTTTTCTCTTGTGGGCAGCAGAATCTTCCGCACCATCTCTTCCCTGTTGGCCCTCCCCCTTATCGGTAGTCAGCTTGTTTCGCCGTATTGCATCTCTTCACACAAATTGAGGGTAACGACTCTTACACTTTTGGCCCAGGAGTGGTCTCACGCTTCCAAAGAACAAAAAACAAAAAACAAAACAAAACACAAATCACTATCAAAAACAATTCTCAAATTTCTACAACGCTACAAAATCCTTCAGCTGGAAACCCCGGAGCGATTCGCCTTTCTCGCTCTCTGCCGGTCCTCGTAGTCGAAACATAGCTTCTAAGAAAGAGCCGATGTCACTCGTCTCTCTGAAGCCCCTGACACCCCCCGTTATATTGGCTACATGGTGGGAGGGAAAGGATTTCCCATATCCTTGTCCCTCTGCTGTGACACACTACTTCCCAGGCCATGATCTTCACTTTGCCTTTGACGACGCCATCTACATGTACCCATCCTCTAGATATGAACACCCAACTGTAACATATCTCTGGTAAGTGCTCCTTTACCAGATTGCTATCACTGACATCGAGTTTGTTAGCGTTCGTCTGTTGAAGCAGACAATTTCACTTAAAAGCACAGGGGAAGCATAGAATGATCGTCAGTTAACTGGACAGGAGTAATCTTTTTCAATACCTCAGCGTTGCTGATTTATACATATTTGCATTTGAGTCCATGCTCTTATTACAGAAGACTAAACCTTGCTAGGTTTGGCTGGCTATGAGTGATATAGCATATGATGATTTTTAAAGCATTCAGGTGCTGTAGCAATATGCCATACTTCAATTCACTTCATCTGGCGCCTACCACTTTTAATACAGGCGCCCCCATAAAAGCCCAAATGATATATCCTTGGAGGAAGTCCGTAAAACATGGGTATTGATTTAGCACACTGCTGTCTAGCGTGTAAATCTCCTCATTGTGGATCGGGGATCATGGCCATATCAGGTATTCGACTGTTCTCCAGCAGTCTCTCCGATTTCGCTGCTCTTTTGTATAAGATATTCCCCTAGCACCTGCAATGGGTTTGTAGGCCTAAGGTTTTTTTTAGAAAGCGATACATTAGCACGCTAAAGAAACTGATATAAAACAGAAGAATAAAATACTCACTGATCCTTGGCCACCATCTTCATCCCTTCCAGAAGATATGGTACAATCTTTTCGTTCATATATATTCGTGCAGGCGCACCCGTAGCCTGGGGTTGAGGGGTAACATTGACAACCCCGGCAGTACCAGTCGCGCCATTCCCCCGATAAGTACCTCTTGTTTCGTAGCCACCGCTCATGATGATGTCCCGGTTATCGTGGTGTTTATTGGCTGCTGTCTCGTTGTCCACAGACGGAGTGACGCCACGGGAGGCGGTTGAAGCTGTAGCCGGCGGAGGAGGAAAACTGGCACCGAGTTTAGGGGTGGAGTTTGATTCTAGAGGCTGAGAGGCAACGCGCAACGAGTCAGTTTTCTTTTCTTATAGAGAGGGTATGTCTGCTGTGGGATGTATTCTGGTAGGTAGGATGGGTATATATATTCTTAGTTGTAAGGTTATAAGGTCACGGCCCAAACTAGCGGGTATTACTCATGGGGCCTCATCACATACAGTGTTCTCCTGCATGACAGCTGGCCTGTCTTGCGGTGTTTCTCCATTGTTCTGTCTCTCTGCATTCTGGAATCCGGCGCCAGAAGGAAGCGAGTTGCCTGCCGGCAGCTGTGACGGGGCGTCGGCCATGAAGAACTAGCGCTATCTAAGATCCCATAACCCTCCAAGATCTATATACTAGGTCAATTGGTTGCCGTAGTTGGGCAGGTTTCTTCTCTCTTCCCTCAGCCCGCAGCTTTGACAGCTTGAGATATCAAATTGTCTTCTTCCACTTTGCGAGTTTGCGAGTTTGTTGTCGGAGCTTCAGATGCAAACAGAGCAAACACACGCAAGAAGGCTAAAGTGGTTTTGCGGCGTATCATGTGATCTCGTGTTGCCGACGCGTTTCGTAGAACAAGCTGAAAAAACGGCGTTTTGTCGCTTTCACAGCGTCCAGCCTGTGTTTGAGACGTGTGGGATGCGGTGATATTTGGTATATTTGCTGGATATGCACCCGAGTATGCAGGGCTTACTCGAATTCCTTTCGTCTTGAAGACCCTCTCTCTCTTTTTTTCTCTTTGACCATGACAGGACCTCGGCCCTCGCAACCCAAGCGGCGACGTAGCTCATCAAGCCCGGACGACTCTTCATCGAGCAAACGATCAGATGCTGCTATAGAGAGGGATACCCCTGCTATATATGGATCTCCATCGACGGATAAAAGGCCAGGAATATCTACTGAGGAGCTCGGGCACGATGCTCTACCCTTTGACCAGGAAGCTGGCTTGGAGGAGTCTCTCCCTTCCTTGAAAACAGGCAAAGATGCCGTTGAGGAATACGAGCAGTGGAAGGCTTCGCTAGATGATGAACCTCGGCTGGAAGGGACGCAGCAGCGTCTCACCCAAAGAAGATGGGTCAAAGGGGAGAGCTCCATCTACGTTGACGCTTTCAACTACGCCCTCGACAGCGTCCTTCAAGATGAGAGCCATCTTTTTAATGAAGCGGAGCGGGCCGTGTTTGATTACTGGAAAGGGCTCTCTTATGAATCTCAATACCTGTTCGTTTCTTATACCCCCTTGGTTTATTCAAAACTTCATTGTTACACATCGAGAACGTCCTTTTGACAAGTAAACCATAGTTATGTTCGACTCTTTCTACGCAAAACATCTGCTTGGCATCGCATCAATAAGCTGGGCTATTATCAAGACATTACAGATATGTCAAGGGCAGTTGCAGACCTTCGAAAGATGAGAAAGTTGCCTGGATCAACTGACGACCATGTACCAAGATTTGGCGGACTGGACTCCCCTTCTGTAACTACAATTGGTGGTGAATTTCGATTTGCAGACGATATGAACGAAATACAGTCAATCGAAGAAGCTTCCTCACTGCTCCTTCTTGACGAATTGAAATGTTTCGCAAGAGACCTGAAGGTTTCAGGAAAGAATAAGAAAGACCTTATCAATGGTTTATGCGATGCAAGCACGAGTCAAACAGGGCTAAATTGGCTTCCCTCAGCTGATACTAAAGGCACCGAAAACAGTAAAACTGCATCAATAGCATCACATTTCGGCAACCTCGAAACTGGAAACAGAGCTGTGATGTTACGAGAGAAGATCTTTGACTGCACCGGTGACTGCATACGTCTTTCCACCGGCCCATTGAAACTTTTTGAACGCGTTCACCTGCTATTCTATCGTTCGACCCAATGGTCAGAAAAGTCTCTTACCGCCATAATACTTGCAAAGATATCTAGGAGGAATTACCCTGATTATATTGTCAGTCGCTCGAATTCCATATTTCCGTCACGGTCCGAATTGCTTGAATTTGAAGCCGCCATTCGCATTCAGTTTGATCTAGATAAGGAAATGGAATCCAACAGCTCCACAACTGATGAGAAGATACAATCTGTTAAGCAATTTGCAGAAACTGTCTATCCCCGGTGGAAGATACTCTTACAGGAAGAACGATCCAAAGAAGAGCGGCTATACGATTACGGAGAAGGTGCATATCTTCGTCGCTTCTCCCCTGCGTGGGTGTACACCAGGATCATACATAAAAGTTTGTGGTCCCTTGGACGGCTTAAGGACTATAAACAGGAACACAAGACGTTAAGAGAGCTGCTGGATCAGCGCCTCTTCCATGCTGCGAGGCGTGGAACTTGGTACCAGCGCAAGGCACTCCTTGAGGAGCATTACATGTGGGCACTCGATGCTACCGATACCCGGCCTGAGGATGCTCGAAAGAGGGACTGGAGACAACAGGCACTCCGCACTTGCGAAAACGGACTTCAAGACCCAGAATGTCATATAATTTTTCATTATGGTCTACAGAAACGGATAACGAAACTGGAGAAATCCCTGAAAATAGCAAAGAGGGAGCAGCATGATTTTTCTCATGTCATGCTCGCGAAACCCGAAGAACGGACGGTTGAAGGGATTCGGGTTGAAAAAGAGCTTCCGGCAAAGCAACCTAACGGGAAATCTACGGGAAATAGCAACGCAAAGAACAAAGGTCGTCCGACTGTCTGGGTTGATGAACGGGAAGGAGGAGGCGAATGTCGGGTTGAAAGCATGTGCCTGAGCTGGTATAGGGATCACGGATGGAAAGGCTTCCATTGCGAAAGTGGAATCCTTCGAACACTTGTGAGTAGTATCTAAGAAACCCTCTGACCTACCTCATATTAGCAGGTAGCTAACACTAACTAATCAGTTTGGATACCTATTCTATGATGTTATATTTACCTATATTCCTAACGTCTTCCAGACTCCGTTCCAGACCTGCCCCTTGGATTTACATACAGATTCATTTTACTCGTCTCGAATATCTGAAATTAATTCAAGGCTAGCTGAGATATCAAACGGGGAAGCACAAAGGCTCATCAAGGAAGTCTATACACGTGAAGCATCGAAACAAACTTGTGCTATAGGCATTGACTGGTCCTTTGAGCTCAATGATCTCCTTGAGATTGCGCAATGCTTTAGAGGTGAAGCACTGGCAACTATATGCAAGGTGATGGCGCAAGAGTACCAGCAACGTGGCGGAGGAATTCCAGATCTTTTCCTCTGGCGGATGGATACTAAGGAGGTGATGTTTTCGGAGGTCAAGTCAGAGAGTGACCGTTTAAGCGATACGCAACGCCTTTGGATTCATGTTCTTACAGGGGCAGGCGTCAAAGTCGAGCTATGCAACGCAGTGGCACGCGAGGTCAGGCGTATATAAACGATGTTGAATAGATTTTTGGACATACTGCCATATACATATATAATTGATACGTCCAAGGAATTGATGTCACCTTGGTCCTTTACGGTAATGACATAATTGACTTAGTTCATTATTCATAATTGCTAGTAGCACATTCAAGAGATAGCCAGTCAGGAGGAACTCAATTAACTATGGGAATAATATCTAACGCTCAGCTCCTGCTATTGTAGAAAGAGCTGTTTAGCTCCGTACAAACCCCAAACATTTCTGCTAGGTAGCTTGTTTGGAAGCGCCCTGTCCCTGGTGCAGACCCGCGCTATTTTGATTTTATTTTTAGATCCATATTTGGTCCATTGAAGTCGTGAATGTGGTTGAAATCGCTTATGCGACCATGGTGCTGGCAGTGGCACTCTCGTATCTCCAGGTTGGTGGGAGGACACCAACAGACTTGTAGTAACGAGAGAGACGGTGGATACGGGACTCAATCAGAATCAGGCGGAACTTGCTGTCCTTGTCCTTGCGGTTGCGCTCAAGGTGCTTGCGGACAGCAACGGCCTAGGAAGGGAGATATTAGTTTCTAAATAGTCAGGAGTACCGTGTCAAAAAACGGGATAGGCTTACCTTTCTGATCAACATGTAAAGGTCCTCTGGGATTTCAGGGGCGAGGCCTATAACAAGTTTACAAAAATCACTCTGTCAGCCGATCATGACCAAGCAGAGGCAGTATAGAAAGAACATGGCCCCAGAGGAGCGCTGAAAACGTTCAATCATTATATTATATGAGGTGATTGAGCTTAGAGAATGTTCAACGATCTCTCACGTTGAAGCGCTCCTCTAAACAATCATATCACCTCCCACATGAAGGGTGTCTATGCAAATTCGTACCGTTGGACTTGAGGATGCGGAGGATCTTGTTTCCTATATACGCGAAAACATATTAGTTTAAATGTTGCTGGCGCAAAGATACAGATTTCAGACGGATTCCAGGTCTCAGCTCCAACCATGCACATACCAGTAACAACCTTGACTTGGGCAATTCCATGGCTATCACGGAGGACAACACCGATCTGAGATGGAGTGGCACCCTTCTTGGCCATCTTGCAGATGTGGTCGACAACCTGATCCGGAGTGGTCTTCAGCCAGGCGGGAGCGGTGCGAGAGTAAGGGATGGCAGAGGCAGAAATGCCCTTGCCCTTGCTGTGAAGACGACCCATATTGACGGTGTTGGAGGTGCTGGCGAAGAGCAAAGGTTGGCGGATGAGATGTGTCGATGTCGAGAAGTTCGTTCACGTCGCAAAATTGAAGATTTAATTTTTTGTCGGTAAAATCAAAAATCGCGGGCGGATGTGTGATCACGTGAACGGGTGTCGCTTAGATTGTGTATTTAAGTGGTAAAAATACCAAAATTACGAGTATATATATATTACAATGATGATCCACGTGATCAATATCATCTCACTTAAAGGTTTATATTATAAGGTCTACATGAAAGATGTTGAACAACTCATAGGAGGAGAGAGCCAGGAGGCAGCTCGAGTATGATGTGTATCAAAGGAACAGGTCAACTATTTCGCTGTACGACAGCATACCAGCAAAGGCCCAATATGCCACCGATGGCAATAGCAATGGCGGGGGGCACTCTAAACCAAGCATTCTCAGCATAGGTTATAGCCGCCACGACAACCCAAAAGGGCTCCATTCCCAGGCTTTGACCCTGTGATGCATTGGCGCTCAGATAGCCAATCTCCCAGAGGCGATACACTGCGGTGAACACCAGGCCTACTGCAGCTGAGTTCATTCCTCTGAGACAGCTTGTTGTTAGTGGATATTTCCGCAGGACACTCCAGCAACTTTGGAACCCCACGGCCAGAGCCATGCCAGGGATGTAGATTGCAACGAACGCCATTGCAGAGCCCAGGATAGTTGGAGAATGCATTGAGGCTACTGCAAGCCCGCCTAGATATACGGCAAAATTGAAATTTGGCCCAGGGAAGGCCTGGATAAGGGCTAGGCCGATGAGGAAGTCTCGTGGAGAGACCCAGCCCGGCCCGACAACATACTCACGAAGTAAAGGGATGACGACTGGGCCGCCGCCAAATATCACCGTTCCGGCAAGATACAAGTTGGAGAAGAGGTCAAGGTCAAGCATGGGCTTCTCCATGCCCTCGCGCACCACCAGTATGGCAACAAAACTTGCTATATAGTAACTTTTCCTTTAGTTCATGATATTCAGGGATGCAGGGGGCAATATTGAGAGCACGAACCAAAGAAGAGGACGATGATCAGAATACCCCATTTCATATGCAGAGAGTGAGAGTGTGTGTCCATCGGTTGATTTGAATCCGAGCCCACGAGGGTGCTAGGGCTATCAGGTATTATAGTTGAGCTATCTGAACGTCGAAGCTGGGGAAGATCGGCTTGGGGCTCTTGCGCTCTCCCGGCTAGAACGCGGCGCCGCTGAAGTGCTAAAGACTGATGAGGATGGTTTAATTGGACCCCCACATGATCAATGCCCGCCTCAGCGTCACCCGAGGAACTCGAGCGTCTTTGACGAAGTTTATCTCTCAACTTTGTGATGTATGGTTGAGCGATCAGATCCCATACTGCGGTCGTGCAACCACCAATCAATATAAGGATCGGAAAATACCATATGGCTTGGTAGCACAGGCCAGCCGATCCGCCAAATATAACCAGTATTCTGGTTACTTTGTCTTGAATAGACTTCTCCGCTAACTGAAGAGTGGTTAGCCTTTCGATCCTCTTTTTTTCTCTGCCCTTTCCTCAATTTTGATGCCATATTTACCTGTACTGCTGCGAGAGCGATGATACCAACGGTCGAAGCATTCAATCCAGAAAGGAAAGCATATACTATGGTCGGAAGGTTCTGGTCAAGCTTTGCAACTCCAAGAGCGAGACCGAACATTCCAATAGCACCCGGAAGGCTATGATATACTCAAAACATATCAATATTATCATTCTGCATATACAAAAAAAAGAGGTGCAAGGGAGACACTAACGTCCATAGGAAGAAAGCGACCACTGCAGGGAGAAAGCCTGCATGTATCATTGTTATGCAGAAGAGCATCTTTGTACTCCCAGGCCCAGGAAGGGCCTGACTTATCGCAAAGAGCTCCTGGTACTATACAACACCCCATCGAGGTTAGCTTCAGGTAGTCTACAGGCGAAAGTTGAAGTGAGATGTGACATGTCCACACCGTTTGTTCATCAACCCATGGTACTCTCCTCCCAGCGTCCGACACGAATCGCCGGTGAAGAGTTCTAAAATGCACTGGTGGACCACCGAAGGACGTGAAGCCAAGGTCAAAGGTTCGCTGAAAAACGTCGGCCATGCGACTCTGAAGCTTCCCCTTGTTCGGTTCATAAGCAGCCTGGCTGGACTCGGCGGGCGCCAGGCCACGCCTAAACATATCGATAAACCTGCTTACCGCCATGACAGCGGACTTTGTGTGTCAATTTTTCACAGGCAGTGGATAGCCAGATCACAGCTGCAGCTCAGGGTCTTCACGGGGAGAGGGGGAAAAAGAGACCCCCTTTTTCCTGGGGAAGCCCTCAGCGTTTTAAGTAGTCCTGCTGGCCGCATGTGTCGACGATATCGACCGAGTAAACGGCAAGCTAGTTCTCGAGCCCTGTAACGACCAGGCTGGATCGCATCATCGTCATCTGGGGTATCACAGATCACCAGACTCGAACAGCGAATTACCCTCCTGGCCGCAATATTAAGGATGCCTCCAACACAGGGTCAAGCAAGCTTCTGCTGCAGCCACGGTCGATCTGTCACGTGATGGTTCCTTTTATTTTGCCGGCTTTTTTTTTCTTCTTCTTTATTTTCTTTTCGTCCACAACGAAGTTTTTTTTCGTCTGTTCAACTTCAGGCGTTGGGCCTTTTTCTTTCTCAGCGAGCGTCAAGCGATGTGAGACTCACTGTCTTTTGGCCTTTTGCAAGCTGTGGGGAGAGAGACAGACAGGTGAGATATGATGAGCATAGGTAGGAGGCACGCGGTGATCGGTGCTGCGGCCTAGGTAGCTGCCATGTAAGGTATGTACCGTCCTCCTCCAATTGTGCTGAAATCTTCCGCACCGCACAAATATTTGTCACCTCGCTTTCATGATGATATCTCACTTTACTTTTTTTCTGGTACCTCTTATGTCAGAAGCTGTGCCTCTTCTGGTCCAGCTTCAATGATCTTAATGGACTTCTGATTCCTCACAACCGATCTCGATGTCTGCATTGCTCCTTATCTGTCGGTACGCATTGACTAACGAAGCTTTTTATGCTTAGGTTTAATTCCGCTGTTGTCAAATGCAAGCGTGATAAGATATATACTTACGGACTATTGACACTACGGGGAACCCTTTCGTCGGTTCGTCCGGCGAAATATCTGATCATGATGGACGTACGGGTATAACATATGGTTGGTGATATGACGTGCGGAGGCCTGATATCTCTTTGGAAGGTGTTTAACATTCCTTGCTAAGCCAGATGCATAGCAGTAATGCACAATTGCCCACATATCAGATGTCTGTGGACTAATTAATTAATTTATATCCTTTTTATTTCCATATTTATTTTTTTATATTTATTTTTTTCTTACCCCGTCTTTCGCCTGCAGCAGCACTTTTTCGAAAAAGGCAGGTTCTAATATGGCTATATGCTATATATTGTTGATATATAGACGGAAAGCTATATCTGATAGGATTGGAAATGAGCTTTCGGTTGTTCCGAGTATCAGGAACCCGCCTGCGGTGTCTTAACTTTCCCTTTGACCTTAAAATTACCTCCGTTCGTCCATGGCCCAGCCCGTTGCCAACGTTCCAACTGCTACATGAGCCTGGGATAACATGCATGACGTCGATTCTGACGATCAAACGATAGACAGTCAAAGTCGCAGGACGGGAACCGAGTCTTAGTCTCTTCCTGGTGCTAGGCAGAGACAAGCGTACCATACTTGAGCAAAGGGTCTAAGCTGAAGGTACTTCGGTCAATATCTCCTGCAAAACGAAAAAAATTTTTAGGTCTCCTTTTATTACTGGAAATTGAATTGGAGATGCCCGGCTGGAGGGATCAAAATCGCTTGCCGCGATGGAGTTCTCAAGAAGTGGAATTCTTAAGACACTTAATACCTATTCTACCCCATATAGAAGAAATTTGCCTTCATTTATGCCTTCTAGAACCCATATTGCTCAGACAAAGAGAAAAAAAAATCTCGACATGTCCACGATCAGCCAGGTCGATAGCTCCATAGCCTACCTGTCTCACCTCGGAAATTTGTCTATCGTGAGAGTCATTCGATCCAACTTTGCGCCTTTCAGCCTCGGAGGTTCGCGGGCGGCTCAGGCCTCCAGTTCAACCGCCGAACCCTGCAGCGTTGGTTCATAGCGAGAGTGAGATAAGCCTGTGCGAGTGTCTGGATCTCTGGACACATTTCAAATGTATATTTCTTTTTCAAGGTCCTTCACCCTTACCAAAGAAGATTAGTAAATTATTCTTGCGTATCCTCCTGCCCCAGCTCCATATGCAGTTCGGCAGGGGAAGGAAGAAAGAGACATCTTCGTATCTCCGTCGTACAAGCCCTCCAACACCCCCATCACAACGAACTCTTTGACCACTGAGTCGGGAGATATCGGCCTGGCGCGGGCTAGCAAAGAACGGGTGAACCCCCTTCTCGGATCCCATAGCTGGCTGGATGACCTGGAGGGCTCGCTCGCTTCTCAAGATCCCCCAAGACAACCCTGTCCTGCCAACTGCGAACTCAGGTACTTACGTACCTGGGGATGGATGATGGACCAGGGGAGAAACATCGATTGCGTTATTTAAACGAGCTTTCGTGGCTACTCCCCCCCCCGGGGTTATCATATGTTTGCAGGTCGATAGTACTCCGTATGTAGCCAAGGGATAGGTATGGATTATGGGTATGTAAGCAGCCTGTCAGGTTCCTGGCTGGGCGAGCTGGATGGATGGATGGATGAAGAGAGAGAGAGAGTGAGTGAGTGATTGACAAGCAGCGAAACGGGGATGTGCAGCGAATCATGATGGATATCCATCAGTTCACCGCTGGAAGGCTGCATATGGCTGGACCGTCACCAACATGCACAGTACATACAAACAACTTGTACTTGTTGTTTCTCCAGGGATCGGGTGGACGAGGCCAGTCAGCGTCGATGAGACCTTGCTCCAGCGCTGTGCAGCTTGGCAGGCAACGCCGTGCATGAAGAGCGAGGTGGATGAAATGCGAAGTTATCGTGGAGCAGCCAATTCGCAAGAGCAAGACAGGCGGAGGCGAAAGTCCATCGGCATCAGCCGTGGTGGCCCTGGCACAGCTGTTGGATCGCAATCTCGTTGTCGATAGATACTCCCCGTATGGAGTACTTGCTCTCCCAGCCTTCCGCCCAAAAAAAGGAGCAGTCACAACAACCGCAACGGGATAATGGACGTTGAAGAATAAGAGTAAAAGCAGGTTGTCTTTTCTTCTGCTTTTTGTGTAAGTTTCTCTGTCGTTCGGGCATATGGGACCAATGGCTCTGCTCGTCAACAGAATTGGTGAAGTCGCGTGTTTCATTGGCCACGATGATCCCGGCGGCCGATGCAAGTCATGGCTGGCTGCGCACGAGACGAGACGAGACGAGGTGCACACGACGATGACGGTGACGGACATGGGCGTCTGGGTTGTCTGATTCGTGTGCGGTCTAAGCAAGCATCCATCCTCCTCGCATCCAGCAGCACTCCGCCGCATGAATCATAGCAAGGCGCGAAGTATGCACAGGGGGCGGAAGACGGGAGGCAAGAGAAAGAGGAGCAGCAGCAGCAAGTCTCTTGGACGCCTGTGGGCTTGCGGGACGCCCAGGAAAGGGGGGATGAAGACGTTCTAGAAAGTTGGACATGCATACTCCGTAGTAAGTAGGAATGAGTGAAGGAGATGCCTGGCCTAAGATAGAGTAAGAAGACGGACGGGGACAGCAGGGCAATCTATCTGTGGCACTCCATCCGATCCGTTACATCGTTGCAGGAAACGAGATAAGTATATCTTGACTGCCAGCGCCGTCGACCCCCAAGCGAGAGGCCGTAGGTAGGGGGTTGACCACGGACGGGCGTCTTCCTTCCAGCATCCAACAAGCAGATGATGGCAGACTCCATCACCCGTTGATGAGCAAGGCCTTGATCTTGCGCTGCACGCATCAACGGCCGGCCTCTGCTCTGGAGGGACAAAGCATACGGTTACTCCGGACATCCCTGCCAGACGGGGAGGAGAGCGTCCAGCGAATCTCGCCTTATGTGAGACGCGAGAGAGTTGTCCTCGTCTCCCTCGACCGCAGACATGGTAAGTTCCGACCAGCTCAGATGCCTGCTCCCTGTCCCTGTCCCTGTCCATGTCCCTGTCGCATCTTAAGTAAACTCTTAGGGGGGTGGGCTCCCTCTGGCGTCGAACATCCATGCATATAGTTAGATGGCAGTGACTATAATATCAACTGGACTCCGTATACTTATGTAGTGAGAAAAGTACAACACGCGGCCTACATACGCATAAGATATGCATACAGACGCAGCCGTGCACTTCCCTATGCAGCAGGAGATCCGCCGGAAGGGAGCAGAGTCGACGAGAGATGATAATGATGATGATGATGCCCCGTATACGCATGGTGATATCAAGACGCAAGATGCCCCGTACGTACACATGTTTGCCGTAACGAGAGGTTAACCATAAGATGCCTCTACCAACCAACACCACAGCAGCTGTCGAAAAGCAGAGTATAGTTAACTCTTACGTTGGGAAAAGCATCTTCCCGAATCGATAGTCTCGAGTCTAGCAAGGGCTTCTTTTCTTCTTTTCTTCTTTTCCCAGCAACGTGGAAAGTTGGTAGTGTTGGCCGGCCTCTCTGTAGCTACAGCTAGCTGACTCGAGCTCGCTGGCCTCCATTGACTATTAGCCCCGGCCTGCTGTCTGCTCTGTCCTTTGCAGGCTGAATGTTACACATTCTTTGACGCCCTTTTTTGGGCTTCTTCTTCCTCTCTCCTGCATTTTCCCTCTTCTGCAGCGTGGCGATATTACCCATAATTATTGAGCTTGTTTTCCTTCCATTTCTCCCCCGTTCTTTTGGCTGACGGAAATATGGCGGGCCTGTGGAAAGACAGGAAGAAAGCCCCCCTCCCCCCAGCCATCCCACCGCTTGAGTGTGGATGGGTATACTATATCTAGAGTATATACCTGGAGCAACGCCGAGTCAGCCAGGGCAGTGTTCTTGCTGGGTAGTCAATCGAAAGAGAGAGAGAGAGAGAGAGATAGAGAGAGAAAGGGTTTCACCCGTTGTTGGATGGTTAGCTAGCTAGCCGACGGATAACATACATATGCCCATGGGTAGGACAGTCGCAAACGGCTCCGTCCTGGGCCCAACCATGGAACCCGGCTTTCGTCACTAACTGGAGGCAAACGGGCAAGAAGAGGATAACATGGAACGAGACGCATGGCAGGGAGATAGTCCGAGCCTGGTTCCATGGTTCGTGTCGAGGCAAAGACGTTTTGGAGCAAGCGATGGTCACAGCAAGCCCGCCACTAGTGAATCCTCTGCATCGATCTACACCCGAGCCACGGCCGATGTGGGCTGCAGTTAAGTAAGTATATACTTACTTAGTTAGCTGTCGATGGCCTGCTCTGTGCTTTTCGGCTGGTGGCGTGCTACTCTTAACTATGTACAGCCATGCAGGCAGCAGAGCAATTGTGTATATGTATATCCATTCTCAGCAGCGAGCCGGACTCCGTACGCCGCCGGGAAGAAGAGCCGGCGACGGGCTGGTTCGACTCAAAACGGCGACGCACACCAGCAGGCGAGAGAAGAGAGACGCTAGCAGCCTTCTAGAAGCCTCGGGACGAGGGCGTTGGAGTCAAGCAAAACAGCCGTCCTGGAGGCAGATATCAAAAAAGAGCGCCCATCCCTGGAACACGGCTAGATATAAAATTGGCATGGGTGAGGAGGGTCTCGTCTCCGGCTAGGTAACCCTATGCACGCAGCGCCGCCGGCGAAACGGAGGCCCTCCTCGCTTGAGTCGTGCAGTCTAATAGCTCGCGAGTTAGTCTTCTTTGCTTAGATATTAGCAAGAGATTAGTCGACCGGATGGTTGGTTGCTCTGGTTAGCCTGATCAATAAGGGGGGCGCTGCCAGCCATAGTAGGTAATATATGTATAACGGGGCTATAATGAACCCGGCCACCAAAAGTCTTGTCTTCTCCAGGTTATCCAGGGGCATGTTATTATTATTACTGTCGAGAGAGAAGCTGATGTCAAAGAGGTCCCGTAGAGAGGAGAGAGAGAGACCCTCCCCCGGGAGAAGCAAGGCAAGCATAAGCAGAGGTCCAGTCTCTGCCCAGCCAGACCTGCATCAGCCCATGCCCGGCAGCGTCGCTAGTGCGAGGAACAAGGGCGTATCAAACGATCTTAGCCTCTGCGGCCGCTGCAGCTGCTGGCTGCTGGCTGCTGGCTGCTGGCTGCTGTCTTCGCCTGCGAAGTAAGGACTAGACAGTATACTAGACATGGATGGCTGGCTCGCCGGAGCTGCGCCCCAGCCTGGAGACATTCAGACTGCTTGACCCCCCGTATCGTATCTCGCTCGACCAGCTGTCTACCTGCGACTAGTTACCGTTGGGAGTCTGTCGTCACGCGGCTTTCTGGCTGGTTTCAGAGCCGCATCGCCATCGCCATCGAGCCCCCTTTTTTTATTTTTTTTTATATATCGAATCGAAAAAAAAATCCTGACATCAAACCCCTGGAACGTCACCAGCAGAACCACCTGCGTAACAGAGTAACCAGCCAACGTAAGTACGTAACTAGTCCTTAGTGCGCTGCTGAGGACATCTCGAGAAGTGCCGATGGGACCTGGGCCTCCAGCGCTGCGCCTGATACGACGGACGAATGCCTGTGCCGGCTTGGTCACTCCACCGCCGGCGACGCTCGCGCTGCCATGGACAGACGAAAGTTGACCGGCGGCTCCATCCACGACCGTAAGGCAGCCATCCAGCCAGCGCCCAGGGAGACTTCTCCAAGCAGCGAGTGGCAGTGTGGCGTGGGCGGCCAGTCTTCCGGCCCGCCAGCAGCGTCATCTCGCTCGTCCTCGCGGCCCTGCGAGCCATGGTTCGGCCGCGCTCATCTCCGTGGCCGCCAGTCAATCAGAATCAGAATCAACAAGACGGAGGAGGAGAAGCCTTCAACCGGCGTCATCAGTCACATCACGAAGTTGTTAGTTAACTAAGTAAGTATATACACTCCTGCTGGTTGGCCGTGGCAGCAGCTCGAGGGCGCAGGGTCGCCGCCGCCCATCCACTCAACCAAGCCTGTTCCTGGCTCCATCTATCATGATCCGCATGGCCTCCTGCATCCTGGGCCGCAGCGGTGGAGGGGGCACTTGCCGGCCGTGATAGGTTGGACAGCTGGAGCCGTGAACCCTCGTCCCCCTTCGATGGCCCGGCCTGCCACAGCACAAGCACGCACAGCAAAAGGGCAGTTAGAGGCCAAAAGAAAAAAAAAAAGGAAGAAGAAGAAGAGACCTGCGAGCGTTCGTCTGCGTTCTCTGGCTGCTGGGCTCTTTGCTAGGCGGGACTTCTTCAGCCTTTCTATTCGCCTTTTGCCATCTGCCCACCTGGATCCTCGTCACCCCTATATGGCTTCATGGCTTTGGCTGCTGCAACTGAGGCCTCTTGCTGCTCCCTATCTGGTGGTTCTCTCCATCCAGTCTACCAGGCCTGTCAATGCAAGGAGCCCGTACTTAAGTATATACTTATATACTCAAGTGCTTCCTGACTCCGTATCAAGGGTCACCCCCTGCCATCATTTCCATCCCCCCCCCTGAGGAGACGACAGCAAAGGAGGATGGATCAAGACAAGCCCATCTCGAGGGGCCAACGCTCCGCACCCACATCGACCGGAGATGGCTGCAAAATTATAAGGGCCCATGGGTTTTACTACTAAGTATAATCCTTACCCGCAAAAAACAAGTGGATGATGGATCGGGGGCTCGTTTCTTTTGCTTGCGTCTTCTTTGCTTCTTTTCTTCTTCCTCTCTCCCATCCCCCTTGCTTTTTCCTGGGACGATCGTTCAATTGCATTACTACTTTACACTCGCTCACTACTATGTGCAATACAATACTGCTAACATACATCCATACTGGCCTCTTATTACTTACTGACTGGCCTCTGCCTAAGCTGTCCCACTCTGAGCTAACTCACCGGCCAGCGCGTGCTATTTGATGCTGGCAAAAGTACCGAACCCGCCATTCCCAAGCAATCACTCACCAGCGGCGGCCCTATCCTATTCTTAGCTTGCTATATCACACTATATCTGCGTCTGAATCTTGGGTCCCAACGGATGAATGGTTAGAGAATTTTATTTTTGCCTTTGCCTAGCACGGAGGGTCTCCTTCTTACTTCTTCTTCGTCTTCTTCTTCTTTTTTTTTTTTCCCTTCATATCCATATTGCCCTGGCCTCGACTCCTCTGCCTCTTCTTCTTCCCCAGGTTTTGCTTTTCATACTTACATCCCTTCGCTTGCTCGCTTGCCTGGTTTTTTCCTTCTTCCTCTTCTTTTTTTTTATACAAAACAACCTCCCTGCCCGGCCGGATCTTTCTTTTCCTCTTTCTTTTTTCTTCTTCCCTTCGCTTTTGCTTCCTCTTGATACTACTAACTAAACAAAACCAATCCCCCCCCCCCCCATCGATCCCCTCCATCCCCCTTCCTTGCCACGCACGCTACGTCTAGTTCGTGGGCTTATTATTATAACCGTTCAGACCTGCAGTCACGGAAAATTAAACACCCCCTAGCTGCTGTCCCTCGTTTCGTCTTGGGCGTGCTTTTTGGCCTATTTTATTTTATTTGAAGCTTAGCTCTATACCAAACAAACCGCCGGCCTCTTGACTGCCCCCTTTCCTCCTCCTCCTCCTCCTCCTCCCTCCCCTCGAGAGTATTAAATATTATTATACGCTCCCACGCTGGATTCGACGTCCTGGTCTCGAGCCGCAGCTTTCATGGGCAAAACTACCGTCTGCCTCTCCCATCGATGAATCCGAAGGGCTGTATTCTCTTGTGGTGCTTTGAGTAGGAAAGAGGAGGATACGCTGGATACGCAGGATTCGCATCTGCCTATCTCTCTCTACCTTTCTTTCTTTCTTTTTTTTTATTTTGACTACGAAGAGTCTGTTATTCGTCTGCTCTGACGCCGCCGCCGCCGCTGCCACGCCGATATCAAGATGCCAGACCTACTCCCAAAGCACCCCCATCAAGGGCTATGTCCGTCGCCATTCCTTCAGGAGAACTTGTTCCCTCCGCGGGGAGGCTGTAAGTCCATGCATCAATTGATATCTCTTCCTTCTTTTCCTCTTTTTTCCCTTCTTGTTCATATATCTAACTGCTATTCTCTTATCAGTCGTGGAAGGCCGGTTCTGCACTAGCCAGTATACTAGAATCTCCTGCTGTCTACCATGTCCAGTAGGTGCATGGAAATACTCCCCAGGTATGGACGGATTAATGCCCTCTTGCTCTTGTCTTATTATTTGCACCCTTATCCTCGCCCACTAGAGATGAATTGAACCATCGCTTACAAGATATCCAACCTGCTAGGCTTCGCACATAGGACGCAAGTAGCCAACTGGCTCGCCGTTGCGGCCTTTCTTGCCAATGCATTGCTGCTGGTGTCCTACGCCGTATTACCGGTAAAAGTGACCCATCGTCACTATCTGAATGTCTGCCTAATATTAGGGATAATGTCCTTACAAGTATGTCTTCCTATAACAAACTGCCTTTATTATTATTATTATTATTATGCAATAAATATCTAACAATGCTATAGCTGGGCTTCATTATACCCCTGGCATCAAAACCGCAGCAATGCTACAATGAAATTACCCCAAACGACATGTTCTCAGAAATGTCCTGTGCCTGGTCTGGTGCCGTTGTCCTATTCGGTGCTTGGACAAGTGTAACATGGAGTATGTCCTTGCCTCTATATCTGCCATATTTATCCCTCATCTTGCTAACTGCCCGGTTTCAAAGGTTTCTTTCGAACATTATCACTTCACCTGCAGATATGCTGGAACCTGGTGCTCGGACAACGGTTCTTCCTGGGCTCTCTGGCCATCGGCTGGGCCATACCACCCATGGGCATCACCATCGGCCTGGTTCTGACAGGCGTCTCCTACAGGTTTGGAACCATCTGCCATATTAACCATGACCACAGCATTGCAGACTTCTGGGGACCCATCCTGTCCATCTCCGGTGCATCGATGCTTGTCCACCTCATCACCTTGCTCTACTGCATGCAGGTTTATATTCGATCAGTGTTTGAAGAAAAACCGCCCACAGACACGAGCTCTGCATTCCCGTCATACACCGGCAGCGTAACGACTCTCACCTACCGCGCAACCTTCAAGCGTGTCAAACATGTCATCAAAATGCAATGGAGAGGCATTGCCGTCGTCCTGGTCGTCATGACATACGCCATCTTCTTCACCCTCGTCTTCATCAGTCTCGATCGATCCGTCGAGAAGACCCCGGAAAATATCAATCGGGCTCACCCCTGGCTTATCTGCATTGTCCTGACGAACGGCAACGTCAAGAAGTGCCTCCCCGAGAGCCAGATGAGCCTGGGCGGTCCCTCCGAAGGCCTGGTACTGACCGTTTTGCTCCTGCTGCCCTGCTGCGGCTTCTGGTCGGTGCTGCTCCTGGGTCGTGTCTCCATGATCCCCGGCTGGGTGCAATTCTTCAGGAGCAAATTTCAGCCCAAACAGGAGTTTCCGCCCCGAGGGATCACGCCAAACAAGGACTATGCGATGCTGAGCTCCTCGTCTCGGTACAACAACACCAAGTCGCCCGATCCTTTGCTTTCCATGTCCCGCCAGTCAGACCTATCCATGACCACCTTCAAGGTATCCGGGGCAAAGGAAAGCGTAGACTGCACCAGGGACGAAATCAAGTACCCGAACCCTGCCATGAGCTTCTCTAGGCCTCGCCCACCCAGCGCTCAGCGAGCCGAGCCAAATGTACGAGACTGGGATCCGCAATCGACTTTTGCCCCAGGCGCTGCTGCTGCCCGAACTCGAGGCTATCAACCTTCCGAAAGCCGCTGCTCTGACCGAAACGTATAATTGTATAAAACGGCTAGGTTGAAAGGCTCTGTCCGAGGATATACAACCAACACTGAATATGTCCGTCTTTTCGACAAGACTACCAGAGACCGTCGCTCGACCGAGATACGAGACGGGAACGGCATCTTACGTCCCTCCCATGTGGTGGTACCCCCTTTCCCCCTCCCTTCCCTAGCCTCGTGGGAGGGCAATGGAAACATCCATCCATGCCCCTCTCGCTTGCCGGCATACCAAGACGGCGCCACTTATACCACTCTATCCATCTCACTCTCCACTCAACCCGACATTCCTACGTATATGTGGCAGCAGTAAGGTTAGGGTCTCGCATCTCACCTCTCTGAAGGGCATTGGACAATAAAACAATCGACGCCCCATTGAGCGCTGTACAATACTATACACACCGCACAACTCTTTTAATCCTTTCTATTCACTCCCTCACTAACCCCGCTACCTATCGCCGCGGTCATCGGGAGGCCCATTACACACCATTCTGGATACCATGCCATACATACCCTTGCCCCAAGGCAAAATCAGCCAGTTTCTTTTTACCTGACGCTCCCTTCCGGCTTCATGTGTCTGAGGGATAACGCTGTCATGACAACATGTCAACCGGAGGCATCACTCTTACTTTATTTAATTTTTTTTCTCCTTTTATTTTCATATATTTTGATCGATCTACAATCAACTACACACGCCACACATACGCAATCTGTCCCTTTCACTCTCTATCCTTCCTGACCGCGTTGAAACCGATATCTCGTTTTAATACACTATCACCAAGGCCTGTTCTCCTACCTCTTGATTTTCGTTGTTGGTTCTCATATCCATCTCTATTTTTTTTTTTTTTTTTCCCTTTTAAATATACCATCTATATCATCCTGGGTGTTCATCAGGTGCTGGAACGGACGGGGATGGGTCTGGTCAACTAGAGTATTTGCTTGTATTTTCTGTTCATTGCATGTACGTATATAGGAGCGTACTTTTCATGCCATTGATGTTCATAGATATCTACAAGGCTACCACCATGCATTACTCTGTCCACTCCACTATCAGCAACAAACCCGTTTAGTTACTCCCTGTAGGTATCCTTCTTCGGCTTCTCTTCGTCGCCCATTCCACTCGCTATCCTTGCTGCGCGCTCCGCTTTCATGCCGGCCCTTTAACTGCACCCTCCCGCCCGACCCCATACGCATCCCCATACTGTCGCCCGCCCGAGGCCCGCTTTGTACCATCTGGACCCCGTCTGGACGCTATGCATGCAGCGTCTACATATACTCCTCTTGGAAACAGGCCGCTTTGGTTACCACCCAGCGGCTTGTCTGCGAAACTTCTCAACCGCCTGGCCCAGCCAGTTACGCCCGAAGGGCCCCTCGATCAACATCTCGCTTCTTCTCTTATTCTTCTCCCGCATTTTCTCTCCCCCCCCTGTCGTCCCAATGTTTGGACAGCCGTACCCGCCCAGGGTATCCTATTCCGTCATTAGCGAGGTTTTTATGTATGGGATTAACGACCCGGTGCTGCGTAACTCGATTGATATAGGTCCCCATTATGACCTTTCTAAGGAGCGACCGGAAAACAATCCTGAGTTACACACCCCCCAGCTTGGCTGCTCCCCTCCTCGTACTGATGTGAATGATGGGTATTCTCCATCTCGTGTTGGGGCTTTTTTTCGCACATGAAGCTCGCTGCGATATGTCATCACTGCATCCACTGTAACTGTATTTGCCGAGGACGAGCCATGGATACTCGCAGACAGATGGATCTTCCCATGTGGAAAGGAAGTCAAAATCGCAAGGAATAGATACCCGGACCTATCCCAGAGTACCCTTTGCTCCGGGTGCCTGTTGGTGAGCCAGCGTGGATAAATTCGATACGGTTACGGCTCGTGTTGGGCATCAACGGCGTCTGTTCGCCTGCCCACATGCGAGTGTTATAACATGTCAAGTAACGACGACAATAACTAGTTATTATAACGAGCTGGATGGATGTCGTGTTCCTGCTCCACGGTTCCTCCGGGGCATGCAGTGCCGTAACTTGTTAGTTATAGCTGGTGGAATGCTAGCTAGTTATTTAGCGCCTGGCGGTCTGCAACTTCGGGGTCACTGTGACACGGCCGATGAGATCATAGCTGACTATCGAGTTCGTTAGCTAACTAGTTAATGGTGTTTAGTGGCAGTTATCTGGAGGCTTTCAATATGGTCCACGAAATGATTCCATGCAGAGCTAACCGGCCAGTTAGCTAACTGGCAAATAGGAGGTTTCAGAGGAGTTATTCGACTCTCGCGGAGAATGCTGATGGTTACATCATGGCACGTAGCATCTGCCGTCACGGAGGTACTTGCTTGCTGTCTCTGCCATTATTGGCGTTGGCTGATAGGAGATGAGCGGGCTTCGAGATGCACCTCCTGTCGCACCGGAACAGTCTGATGTCCACAGATGGCTGCCAAACCCGTGCTGGACGGTGCTCGTCGGAGCAAAGGACGGCCACCAAAGTCACACCGTTTTATCAAATTCTTGGTGACTCTGCAGCTGGTGAAGTCCACTGTTGGATGCCTGTCTGTTTAAACGGAACAGGCTGCATTGCATGG